ACCACAATAAAAATACCGATGTTGAGACTGGTAAGCCAGAAATTATCTGTTTTTACAACACTACTAAAGGTGGAGTGGATAGCCTGGACCAAAAGTGCAGTCTTGATTCCTCGTCGTAGAACTCGCCGATGGTCCATGGCCATTTTTTTCATATTGGTAGATGTAGCGTCTGTAAATTCATAATGTTCTACATCAGTCATACCAAGATAATAAAGAAATGAACCGCTATCATTTTGGAAAACAGTTAGGAATGCTTTTGGTAACTCCACATATCCAACGCCGATATCAAAATGTGCGTATTGGTCGTGAAATGGAAATATCTATAAGTCGCGTACTACAATTGCAACAAGAAGAACATCCTATGGAAGGTGATAAAATGAATACAAGAACGACTTGTAGACGTTGTCCTTAGAAGAAGGAGAGGAAAACATTCCATGTCTGTGTAATGCGTAAAACTACAATATCCATGGAATGTACTAGGAGAATTTGCAAAGAAGAATGTTCCATCTAAATATCCTAATAGTTTACCCTTTGCAGATATTTTTATACAGAATGTTTTTAGTTATGCTTTGATGTTATTTTATTTAGAATAGTTTATTTTAATTATTTATGTGCGAAAAAGTGTTGTTTACGTTTTTATTTTATTTTTGTTTATGACACTGTTACACTTGCACACAAATAGGGTCAGGTGGTGCAAAAATCAGACAGCCGAAATTTCGGTCAAAAACAAGACATTCAATTTTTCACAATGCAAAAAAAACTATAACATTGTAAAAAATACGTTACAAATTACTTCCACATATATACAATTGAAATATGTAATGAATAATAAATAAACGTAAACACAAACTTCGAGAAAAAACTATCGCATCTGATTGTGCATTTTGCTTAAAAAAATTTTTAAAAGTATTTACAAACTTTTCGTGTTGCGCCGCTGGACGTGATCGTAGAGACTCGGCAGGTATCGCGTTTTCAAAATAACAAATGCGGTTATGATATTCCATATCGAATTTAGTCTATTTTTATTTGCTGGCAAGCAGGCACGTCGTGAATAACAGGTGCAAAAACGAGATACCGCAAAGTATTAAAAACAAGTCACCTGCAGGTAAAAAATAAGACAGCTTTTATACCTTTGATGATAATGCCGAAGGTTTACGTTCCCAAAAAGCGCCCCTGCGAGAAAAAGAACATGGAAACAGCCCTAAAACTAATAGAAAATGGCATTTTATCTCTTAGAAATGCAGCTAAACAGTCTAAAATTGACAAATCTGCTATTTCGAGAAGACGTACTCGTTCACTTGGTAAAAGGGAAGAAAAACTTCTATAACCAAAGAAATGGAAGAAGACTTAAGTGATAAGATAAAAATTATGGCAAAATGGGGGTTTGCTCTCACTAAACCAGAGATACAAGCTATAGTTCAAACCTATGTACAAGAACCACCTTACTACCCAGTTCAAGGAAGGAAAGCCCGGGAAAGATTGGTTTAAAAATTTTTGTAAGCGCAATAAATAAAGTCAAAAAAACGCAAAAACGCAAGTTTACTACGTGGCATAAATCCCTAAAGTTTTTGAGAGCGATGTAGAAGTAAAATATCTGCGGCGCAAAGGATTTAAATTTATTTTCCGGCCATTGAGAAAAAGTACTTCATCGACAAAAGTGACATAGAAATGAAACTTCCCCAGCCAGAAATAGAAAGTAAGACCTGTCGTATCTCTCAGCAATATTGGTTTCCTATCGACTTTGAAAAATACGTTGTTCAATAATATGTAGTACAAAACACGTTATAATAATAAGTTTTCTACTTTAGCTCTTAAAATCCTATCGAAAATCTTGTTTTACCCCTTTTTGAATTAGGTATGGTTTATTTAACTTGTTTTTGGATTTGTTTTCTTTTTAGCTTAATAATCATAGTTTTGTATTTAATTATGTGAGTTTTCTTTAAGAACGTAGTCACAATTTAAAATCTATGTTATTTAAAACCTTTAAAACCCTTGCAGTATGTCTCGTTTTCATTCCCCAGGGTCTGATATTTTGCCACACTGATGTAAAATGACTAAAAGGCCAGAAAATACAGTGTCTTGTTTTTAACCTCTCACTGTCTCATTTTTAGCCCAAAAAGTGAGGTATACTACATGGCTTTCTATATACAGGGCAATATAACAAAGCCTTAAAGTCCGGTTTTTTGTTGACAAAAAATTAAAAGATTTAAAAATCGTCTCGTTTTTGCACCACTTGACCCTATAGCAATAACATATTTTTTCCATACTCTTATTTCATTCAAATATACTTAAAACTAGATCCAACGCTAATTAGAAAGATCTAAGAGTTAATCCGCATGCTGCAAAAAAATGATTTTGTTGTTCATGTATAGTCAAAAAAGATAACCGATCAAAATAACCGATAGTCTGTGGTTAAGTCCTACAAACGTGACCTCTGTAGCTGAGGGTTAAATACGTAATACCATTTTACAGGTTTTCTGTTAATGGTGTTCCTTTGCAGAGTTCTGTTTCAACAAGTTTTATTGTTTTGTGAATTTACACTTTTGCACTTTAACTTGTACGTTGACCTGTGTAAGCACGCAATTGTATTAAAGACCAATGACTAACTGAAACTGCTCTGGAGTTGCCGAGTAGCACGAAGCAGCTGTCCACAGTTGGCCGTCTGTGGTCGGACGAAAGCTAGTTCAATTAGCGCGGTTTTCTGTTGCGAAAGAGCAACAAAATTTCACCCTTAATTTTGATACTACCGCACAGCGCCCACCGAATTGCGTCTGCAATATACGGAAAGTTCCAAATAACTGTCCCTTCAGCAAATACGCCGAGCAAATTCTTATCTCTCCGCTGAGCACTGAAACAGATAGCGTCTCTCGACCCGAGGCCGTTCATTGCCCAGAACTGATGAGAGCGTATTTCGCGAAATTAGTTTCGGCGATTTAGTGCCCGAACGGCCAACTTTCTGCATACTCGCCTGCCGCGCAGTCAGACCGCTTGTAACTATAATTGCCCGCTAGTTTCGGTTTTCACTTTGATGGGGTTCTTTGCGTTCAGCGCCATCCAGAGATGGAACTAGGCTGGATGGATGGTATGTGGGCAGCAGGATGTTCCAAAAAATTGAATGCCCTTTTTATCTAATTTTGCTTGAACAATGTCAAAACAATAGTGAATAAAGTTTTATGTACCTTATACCAGGGCAGGGGCGGCTGGCCCTTAAGCTCTGCAGAGCTGCCAAAACTTTTGTCTTAACAGATAAAAGCAGTAGTAATTTGATCATTATTGATTTTCCATGTTATGACACAAATAGAAATAATACCGGCCACGCTGCCCCCGCAAGACACGGCGTCGAGTCTGTTTTGTATTGAGGAAGCATTATAATCGACCAATTGTGTACTTGTCATTTTCGTCGCGACCGCAGTGTTACATTTTTCATGGGCCACTTGAAAAGGGTCTGTGCACTACTTCGACACAAGCCGCACGCGCTTACTTTTGTCTCTCTGTACAAAATCAAATGCGCGATTTAATCATAAGCATGTGCTGCACGTTATACAAGCGGAGAAGACCTTCTTCACGGCGTGGAAGCAGAGGTCGAGGACCAGGACGACCACGACCAGATCCCATCAGGACCAGGAACCACCAGGACCAGGACCCATCAGGAACAGGACCAACCAGGACCAGGACCAGGACCCATCAGGACCAGGTAACATACAAGTAGTAGAGGACTTGAAACTCTTGATTTTTCGAAAACAAGGGTTTCAAGAGAACATAGCACACCCTATATCGATACTCGCTTAACGACACCGATAGAACTGTGTGAGGTAAAGGGAACCAACACGGCGTTCCCAGAGACTGAAACACATGAGGAGACGTTGTAGCAGACCGCAGGTCACGCACAACACATGGCCTACCGAGACGCTGGTGAGTCGGGCCACGCGGAGGTTAAGGTGTAGTGGGTATTAGGTGGTCTCCTCAAGACAACCTGGAGTCCCACACACGCCGTAGCTCGGGCTATGGTATGGCGCATAGACGCATTCCCCCTTCACCAAAAAAAAAAAAAAAATACGTTATACAGATCCGTACAGATCTAATGCATAGTACGATATCTGATTGGTCGGTCGGTGCTCGGTACAAAATTTTTCGGAGCATTTGAATTGGCGCTACGGGGCCGCGACGAAACCGAGAGCTCCCAAAACCCGGGAACATTTCGTGGTCTGATTAATTTTTCTGCTGAGCTTGATACAACCTTAAGCGAACACATAAAAAATGCTTCAATATTCAAAGGAACTTCGAAAGAAATACAAAACGATCTACTGGATTCTATTCTTGAAGTTTGTCATGAAGAAGTAATAAAACAGATTATCAGAGCCCCGTATTTGGCGATAATAGCAGAGGAAACAACGGACATTTCGGGGAAAACTCAACTGGTAACAAGTTTCAGATACGTATTTAACGGCGAACAAGTAGAACGGTTTTGGAATTATACGAACCCCGAAAAATGTGACGCTGGTACTCTATATTTTGTGCGTCGTAGATCCATTAATAGGAAATTTCCCAAACTGATTTCACAAAGTTATGATGGAGCCGCGGTAAGGAGCAGACAAAATGCTGGAGTACAGGCAAAAATTAAAGATATCCAGTTGCTCACTATGTGCATTGCTATGCGCATCAGTTAAACCTGATTATGTCCCAAGCTGCTTCCGCCAATGCTCAAGTTCGGGTGTTCTTTGGGGATTTGAAAGATAGTCCGGGATTTTTTAATAATTCTCTTCAACGCGTAGAGGTACTGAACATAATTGTGGGGAAAAAACTCCCCAAGGAGCAGCAACTCGTTGGAATTTTTGATATTCAAAGAATAAATGTAGTGTTTGAGAACAGAGAATCACTCATTGAATGCATGGAAGAAATAGAAGAAAATTTCACTAATGAAACCGTTTGCAAGGCAGCTTGCGGTATTCGCCGTATGTTAAACGATTCTGTTTTCGTGTTTTGGTTGACATTTTTTCATCATGTCATGCCTCACGTTCAACCAGTTGCAGAAGAGAACAACCGAGCCAGCGCAAGTTAAAACGGCTATCGATAATTTTGAAAAATGTATTGCCGATGTGAAAAATAAAATTGACGACATAATAAATGAATCCAAAACTACTTGCATTGAACCCCAAGGCAACGAAAGGAGACGACGTAATAATAGCAGTCACGATCACCAAGTTGCCGCATTAGAAGTATGCGACAATATAGTGAATTATGCAAGTGACAGGTTTAAATTCAAAGATTATTTGGTAGCCGCATCCCTTTTTTCCCCGAACGCTTTGGAGAATACTGTGGTAAGTTTCCTGATGACAAGTTGGAAACTACCTGCTTGGCTTATACCGAATTCGAAAAAAGTCGTTTACAGACAGTTGTCTGTTATTTATGCACGGAATGATCGCCGAGATTTACATGGAACTCTGTCTCTTTTGAAATGTTTGATACAAAATAGTTTAGAGGAAACACTAAACGAAACAAAAAAGCTTTTAGAAATTATTGTTACAACTCCTATGTCAACATCAGAGGCTAAGCGAAATTTCTCAACATTGAAAAGAATCAAGGTTTTTCTTCGTAATACTATGACCCAGGATCGCCTTACAGCATTGTCGATGATGTCCATTGAAAAGGAATTTATTTCGACCATGGAAAATTTCAACGGGAAGGCGATCGACAAATTTGCTGCCAAGATACAACGCAGGATCGCCTCTAGGGGCAGAGATGTGTATTACACAAGCTCCGCCCACCGCAATGCTATTCCGGTTACTTTTGGGTACCTCCTCGTATCTTTATATTCACTGAATGAGTTTATAAGAAGAGCAAAGAGGCTGCGGAATTAATACTATAGAACAATTAAGTTATTCGAATATCTTGATTATCAAGTATGGGTATGATAGCAACATTGACAAATAACAAACGGCCTGCATCACAATCTGCGGCGCAATAAAACGAGATTATTCTGTTTTGGTTAAGAACTAAGGATTATCAAAAAGCGCAATGTGAATCGCAAAGAATCGGTCGAAATGAGATTCTCAAAACCAGTACATCAGAAATGAGCGACATAGTTTTGCAATCAACGACATAAAATTTTTACTTTATTAATTGTTCGATTATGAAGATGGGCGTTTACCCATAAGGCCCTTAAATAAAGGGTTGTCCAATAGGGACGCAGGAAAGTTTACGTCAATTTGACATAGAAGCCATCTTTGTTTTCTGTCGCCGACATGTCATTTTGTTAGTTGAATGTTTACCATTGATCGCTATGTAGTCATATTCGATTGAAGACCGCATTAAAGTTATTCAAGAGCACTACAAAGATGGTGTAAAAATAAAAAACACGTTTCGCGCGCTTCGTGAACATTTTGGTTACAACAACCGCCCCAACGAAACAACCATCGGTCGTCTGGTGCGTAAATTCGAGGCAACAGGTTCTGTGGCAAATCTGCCAGGCTCTGGCCGGTCAAGGAGCGTTCGCACGGCGGAAAATACTGCTGTTGTGAAGGAGAGTGTGAGAGACGATCCGAAACAATCAACAACGCGTCGATCCCAAGAATTGGGCATTTCGAGAACCAGTTTGCTCCGCATTCTCCACAAGGATTTGAATGTACACGCCTACAAGATCCAATTGACGCAAGAGCTGCGTCGGGCCGACCATTTTTCGCGCCGAACGTTCTCAGATTGCCTTCTTGAACACCGCCAAATTGATGCCAATTTTTCATCAAAAATCATGTTCAGCGACGAAGCGCATTTCACTTTGAATGGGACGGTAAACAAGCAAAACTGCCGCATCTGGGCGAACGAAAATCCCCGTGAGTATCAAGAGCAGCCGATACATCCTCAAAAAGTGACTGTGTGGTGTGCATTGTGGTCAAAGGGCATCATCGGACCTTACTTTTTCGAAAATCCGGCCGGGGACGCCGTTACCGTCAATTCTGAGCGATATCACGTGATGATAGTGGACTATTTTTTGCCGCAACTTGAAGGAATGGATATGGACGATGTTTATTTCCAACAAGACGGTGCAACATGCCACACAACCAACGTCAATATAAATCGATTGCAGTCCTTCTTCGCTGATCGCGTGATTTCGCGCAGAGGAAATGTGCCATGGCTACCAAGATCGTGACTCCCTTGGACTTCCTTTTATGGGGATATTTGAAAAGCAAAGTCTACGTCAACAAGCCAGCCACCCTCCAAGAACTCAAAAACAAGATCATTTCCGAGATAAATGCCATAGAACCGACCATGTTGCAAAATGTCATTGAAAATTTCGACCATCGCGTGGACGTCTGTAAATCCAGTCTTGGTGAACATTTGAGCGATATTATTTTTCATACATAAATGATAAAGATGAACCTTCAAAATAAAGTACCCAACTTGATTTGAATATCAATCTTTCTTGTTTTAATATGCGTTTACTTTCCTGCGTCCATTTTGGACAACCCCATATAATCCAAAAAGACGGAATTTCTGGGCCGATTGGGGACGAGGTGGTCTATGGAAAAGAGTAGGCCTGTGGCCTGATCTGTTAAGTTGATGTTCATGATGATGATGAAGAGTATAAGAATATTTCCACTTCCATAGTTATCTGTAACTCTTAAGGAAAAGCAAATAGCTCTACGCTCACACCGGAGCAAGACATAATTGCCGGCTGTCCATCAAAATGCACAGTCCGCAATTCGACATGGATCATGCCGTATGCTGCCCTTGTTCCCACTACAATGATGCAAATTCATACGAAAATGCAAAACCGACCATTCATTAATAATCACCCATATTCCCTATTATACCCCTTCTAATGTAACCTCCATTACCGTCTTTGTTGTGTGAAATTCGCATCAACGATTTCGCATACGCGTTATAGGGGATTTTAAGATAATTTGTATAGCAATCATGTCATACGGAATGATTTATTACCCACGGAATAGACTTTTGCAGTACACACCAAGTTCGAGTTAAGTCTTAATTTATATGCTCGGAGGTTACAAAGATAAATGAAATGCCACTTTGAAGTTTCGAGTGTACACCGCTAAGTAGTTCAATGTGGGAAGATGGTCTTGTCCTTCTACTATGAGTTTTGTCAAGTTTTGTAATTTAGTAGATTCTGTTAACGTTGAGGAAGGTATACGCAAGTTAGACGAGAATTCAGATAAACAAGCTTCATACTCGTAACGTTTGTCCTTAAAGCTTTGGCACCAACGGCGGATCCAGGATCTGTGTCTGGGGGGTCACACTGGTCAAAAAACTTGAAGTTCAGGAAGATGTTCTTCTCGTCTTCTGGCCTAAAAGTGATTAAAATATTAAATCTAACTTAAAAGTGAACAATTTCTGTTAAATATCAAAATTAATTCTTCTTCTTTATCTTCCTGCAAATCGATTAATATTAATACTTACCATCTCCTTTGAATCCACTGCAACAACTTTTTTGTGGACATTGCCGCATGGGCCCCCCAAAGGAAGATTGGTCATAGGCCGCCCCCAGCAAAAATCAGCTAGACAGTACTATATTGATAACAAGAAATCAGAGTGTCGTTATATTCTTTTAATGACAATTTGCATTCCGTTTCGGACTCTCGAAGTAATCGGTCGATTTACGGTTGCTACTGCTGAACGGGAGTGTTTTTCTTGACGAGTTTTTTCTCTCTTGTTTTTTCTTCTTTTCACCGGTTTTCTATTTGCTGGTAAGGTATTTTATAATTTATAAATAGCAACAGCCCTCATGAATGAAGAATCGGGCGGCATAGAGCCGCCCCCGCATACAGGGCAATCCGCCTTATTTGCAAATAGTTCATCAAGGTCAAACAATGAATCACACGATAATAGCCCCAGGTATGACTTGAATAATAGATATCTGGCATCTGATAAAGGTCCTTATATTGTTTATATGGAACACAAAAGCAAACATTTAGGCAGACTCTTTCCAATCAAGGTGGGTCACTTTTTGCAACGAAATATGGAGTTTAAAAATGACATCTTGGATATACAATCTATCGGTCTGACGCGAGTGAAGGTTATTTTCGGGACGTATAGTACTGCTAATAAACTAGTACAACATGAATTGGTAGTAAATAATGATTTGATTGCGTACATACCACATTTTTTCACAAGCAAAAAGGGTGTAATCAGAATGGTCGATACATATTTTACTGAAGATTATTTTAAAAGGGAAATTGTATCAAATAGCGAAGTTTTAGAAGTTAAGAGAATGAAAAGAAAAGCCTTGAATCCAGATTCTAATCAGTACGAATTTAGTGATAGACATTTAGTTGTAGTAACATTTTTAGGAAATTAATTGCCAAATGAAGTAATAATTAACCTTGTTAGATTTAGGGTGGAACCTTACATCCATCCAGTAATACAGTGTTTCCGATGTTTACGGTATGGGCATAGGGCCTCCCAATGTAAATCTAAAGAAAGATGTCAAAAATGCTCCGAGGAACACACGGAGGATTCTCGCTGTACGGTAACATTCTGTGTATACTGTAAAACTGACGAACACAATTCCGTTTCAAAAAACTGTCCTATGTACAAAAAACAATATAATATAAAAAGGATTATGGCGTATCAAAATAAGTCATTTAAGGAAGCCGAGAGCATGGCAGACAATCCTTCTTTCAACATAGTTACTAATAATAGATTTGCAGTTCTTAATACCACTGAAAGTTTTCCGGACTTACTACCCCCCACTTACGCTCAACTTACCTCCTCTATTAGAAAACCCAATTATCGGAACGATCATGCTAAATTGCCTGCCCCTAGGAAAAGAAAAACTTTCAGCTCACAGCCTATAGCTGACACTCCTTATGTCTCAAAAGTAGGGTATTGTCGGGAACAGTGGCTCACTTTTTTTCAGTTGACTCTAATATTCATCGAGTCTTCACCAAATGGCTTGAAACTCGGCCAATGTGGGCAGAGGTTATGAAATTTTTATCCTGTGCCATCGAAATGTCCACAAAGGGTGCCAAAAAACAACCAATAATGATTTTGTAAAAAATTAGAAATGAGCCACTGTGCACAGGTAGGGTGCTACAGTGACACACCCCAGTGGTCCACAGTGGTTCTAACAGTACACAGAGACTCAAGACAAACCGAGTTAATCAAAAGTACGGGAATGCTGTTGAAATCTTTATTTCTGAGTCACATTTGAATATCTCGGAAAAAACACTGATCAAAATAAACTTATTCCCATTACTATATTAAAAAACAAAATGAGCGCATCGTAGCTGTTAACATTGAAATAATCAAAATCACACATACATCAGACTCCTATTTGCCTTACAAAACACTGAAGAACTTCTACTTTAATAAGTCTCATCGTAAGCATAAATAATAACAATAATAATAATCAGCAAGCAAATAAAATTAAGTCTTCTACTTAACTTACAAATGTACACATTACTTTGTAAGTATTCTTTTGTACTTATAATGTTAAAAAAAACTTTTATTACAATCAGAGACAAAAACCAATCTTACTCCTTAAGTTCATCGAATGATGAAAGTTTGTAGAACAAGTCAAAAATAAAAATTAATAACTCCATAACCCTTATACCTCTTAGCATATCCGAAGTTGGGATAAATCTAGTCCAAAATTATAGTACGGCCTAGAAGAAGTGCCAACAATTGAAGGCTTTGGCAGAAGTAATTTCAAATCACTTTCTTTTATAACAGAAAGGTCAGGCTTATCAGGCATGTGAAATTTGCTAGTACCAGGCGTACGCCTCAGAAATGATATGTAGAATTCATTATTCTCATTTCTACCTTCTATCACCTTTCCAACGTAAAGCGATGTAAGTTTTTTTGTTGTAAATTGTACAATCACATATTCGCCCTCTAGTGGCGCACGAGTTAGAGATTTGGTTAGGTGCCTTTCAGTTATAATCACTGATTCTTCGTCAGAGTTTTCGTCTTCATCTTCTGCTGCCCAGTCTGTATCATCATCAGATTCAGCAGATTCCACTGTTTCCTTCTCTTGATCATTATCTTCTTCATCACTTTGTAATACTTTTTGAGTGACTTTTCCCTTCTTATTAGTGTTTTTACTTTTAGCAGCTATTTTTTCTTGTTCTAGACGAACTTTTTCCGGTGTGTCAGTAAGAATCATGCTACGGCCTGGTTTCCTTCGCTTGCGGGTAGTAGTTCTAGGTCCAGCCTTTATTGGGTCTCTAAACTCAAACGGAGATGTAAAAGTATTCTCAGCTGATTGAGAAATGGATGGTGTCAAAGCAACGTCTTGTGTCGGGGTAATTATATATGGCTTGGGTGGAAGTTTGTTCGAAGAAATTGCTGATATGAGCACTTCAGGAACTAATATTTTTAATGACTGGAGTCCTGATGGAACTGAAACGGTATTGGATACTTTTGTTTTTGTCAAAATTGAATCTTCATCGGACAGGTTCTTCGTTTCCACTTCTTTAGAAATGGATTGATGGTTGATAGACACAACAGTGGTTTCAATTTGACTTGGTTGTGTCGTCGAAGTACCCAACGTTGGTGAGCATGGTTTTTCTGATGTTGCACAAGTCTGTGAAATAGAATGCTCCGATGAGTGCGCAGTAGTGGTCTCTTCCGGTGCTCCCAACTCGATGACATTCATTGAATTGATGTTTACGTTTATGAGCCCTTCTTCACGTGGCAAACAGTCTGAACAGGGACCTGGACGATCTGTTACTGTACTTGGCAGAAAGTCCTCGTCTGTAAAAAGGTTTCTGTCGAATGGGTAAATACCACATTTTGCAAAAGCCCTGGTAATGTTTGTTGGGGTCATTGCTTTAAGAAAGGCTGCCCCAATGATTTCACCTAAGTCATATATGGTAACAGGCTTTCCAGGATGTGTCATAAGCCAGGAATCGATGCCAGCATTATAATATACTTTGAACGCGCTAAATACTCCCACGTCAAGTGGTTGTAATTTCCCCGAAGTGTGGGGATGAATAGTGAGGAGATTGACTCCACAATCTTTTGCCAACTGTATGGCTTCAATGCTCAAATGTGACTCGTGGTTATCCATTACCAACATACTAGGATTTTCTTTGCAAGAGTTCGTATGCTTGATAAAATGTTTCATTACTTCTGTGAAACTATCCGCGTTCATCCATCCACTAGGCGTTGCTAAGCCGAGTGTTCCTGCAGGTGTGTTTTTGATCATATGATCTTTGAATTTTTTCCTAGGAAATATCATAACTGGTGGCAAAGCGTTGCCGCTGGCACTTACAATGCAGCATGTGGTTACCAAAGTTCCTCTCTCACCACTTGTGACTTTTCCAATGCATTTTCTGCCTAATGGTGCTATTACTTTTTGAGGCTTTTGCACTGTTGTCGTTGATGTTTCATCCAGATTAAATATACGGGTACCATTTGCAAAAGCCGAGTTTCTCTTGATCAGATCTTCTAAATTATTGTAAAAATTATTGACGTTGTTTCGGTTGAAGGCTGTAGCTCTTGCTAGGCTACAAGGTTCTGGTCTCCTGGAAGAAAACCTGTTCCTACGTTTGAACAAAGTAAACCAGTCCTGACCCGCCATTTCATTGTCTGTCCAAGATTTAGGCATCTTTATATTATTTAGCTTAGCACATTGATACGCCACTTGACGACATTCTCTTGCAGTTAATCCGTAAAACAGAGCGCAATGCGAAAAATATTCCTTCAACTTCTCTTCTTGGGATGCGGTAAAGATCTGGTTCACAGAATAATTCGGCTCGAATCGCTCCTCATCGAGATTTTCAGAACCAGCAGTTTTCCAATAATACCTCTTCAGGGTAGTAAATGGCACACCACAACTCGTAGCTGCTTTTCTGATAGACATACCCTGCCTTATTAATAGTACCCCAGCTTTAACGTCTGCAGCGGAGCTGTTGCCAATATTTCTCATTGCCCGTTTCTTGCGAGGCATTCTGAAACAAATATTCAAGTAAGCGGTACACAATGGTTCACTAATAGTACACAGTGGCTCGTGAACCACTGTGTACTTCCACGTGCTGAGCCACTGTCGACCGTGACGCCATTTTGAAATATATGTCTTCTGTGCCATATTCACGTTGCACTGGCTGTTCTAAGCAAAGTTAAAATTATCTTGCTTCTACTTACTTTACTACAAAATATAAATAAATAATAAACTACAGCAATTAAGCTAGAATTTTAAAGTCAAACTTACCTGGAAATGTAATTTTGGGTACCTGAAAACCAACACAAAGGCGAGACGCGTGCTATCAGTGCTTTAGTTGCTGACCGACTGGTTCATGCGCATTTGTGTCGTAAACACTTGATGTAGATGACTGCGACAGATAGATAGTCTCTCTCGTTTTGGAGATATTGAATGGAGCCACTGTACCCGACTGAGCCACTGTTCCCGACAATACCCTACTACCAAAATCTCAACCTATTATACCAAATCCATATCGAGAAGAATTTAAACAACGTAAAGAAAATATGATCCTCCAAATATCGACTCTTTTGGTGGAAGCCATGGAAAGTCATAACTTAGTAATTCTTAATGATGGTAGTCCAACCCGAATAGTCAGCCCTCGTGATAATAATCCATTTTCGGCTGTAGATTTAACATTATCCTCGCCATCAATAGCAGACATCATCAGATGGGATGTTCTGCCCGACACTATGGGATCAGACCACTTTCCAATCAAAATAACAATTCAATCATCACCAAGTCAACTTTTTGAATTCTTACCATATACTCGATGGAACGAAAAACGCGGGGATTGGACACCTTTTCAAAATACGCTAGAAACGAAGCTAACTGGCATATCAGATCTAGACAGTATATCAAACACTGATAGGTTCGATAAACTAATAAAGTTAATTTCAGATGCGGCAGATATTACCATCCCTTTGAAAAAACCTTTTATCCATTCCAGTGCTCAACCAGTTTGGTGGGACGAGGAATGCACACATATATTTGGAAAACGAAAGGAAGCTCTTGGTAATTATAAGCGGCGTGCAAGTTACGAAAATGTTGTTGATTACAAAAAATACACAGCTCAGGTCAAAAGGCTATTTAAACAAAAACAAAGAGGTAGCTGGATGTCATTTTTAAATAGGCTGAATCGGAGAACCCCCATCAGCGAAATTTGGAGATTTGTCAAATCAATATATAAAAATTCAGTTGCTAATAAAATTCCAATACCAAATGATTTAATTGAACAGCTTTTAGATAATTTTGCTCCATTATCAGCTTCCACACCTCCTATAGTTAGTTCAAATTTCACCCCTCATCAGCAAACCTTTATGGAGAAACCATTTAATTTTGAAGAACTAGAATGGTGTCTTGAAGAACGTAATAACACGTCTCCAGGAATAGATAAATTTACTTATGAGATCCTTTTTAACTTGCCTAAATCAGTCAAACTGTTATTCTTAAGAATTGTAAACGATTGGTGGACAAATCACAAGTTTATAGAGGAACTCAAAACTATAATCATTTGTCTCATATTAAAACCATCGAAAGACGCCGGACTAACTGATTCATACAGACCTATCTCACTTTTATCGTGTTTAGTTAAAACCTTTGAGCGCATGATAAAACTCAGATTAGATTTTTTCATCGAAAGCAACAAACTATTCCCAGACTCCCAGTACGGTTTTAGAAGAGGTCGCGGAACATTAGAAGCGATAAGTCAACTAGTGTTGGATGTCCAGTTATGTTTCTCCAGAAACCACTACCTTTTGTGCTGGTTTTTGGATTTGAAGGGAGCATATGACTCGGTAGATTTGAGAATACTTATGCAAAAGTTAACACAAAACGGTCTATCTAAAAAATCCTCAGCTTGTATAATCCAGTTGTATATAAATAGAAAAATGTATATAAGAAATCATAGAAATGAGTTATTCGGCCCCAGAACGATATACAACGGTCTTCCTCAGGGTTCAATTCTTAGTCCTATATTATTTAATATATATATACAACTTACTTCCATGGCATTTTCGACAAGGAAGTTCAAGTCATTCAATACGCAGACGATATATGTGTTTACATTGCTCACAATTCATACCAGTACTGCCTCCAAAAGTTTGAACTCGTGGTGGAGAAAGTAAAAAATTGATTGCTAGAGGTAAATCTCCAATTGGCTGTAGAGAAGTCTGCGATGATGTGTTTCACAAGACACAGAGTAGCACTTCCCAGCCTATATGATATCAGTGGGCTTAGTATACCCGTGGTTCAGCAATATAAATATCTAGGAGTAGTGCTGGATTGTAAGCTCACTTGGGGCAAGCATATTCAGTACTTAAAAACAAAAGCTGAAAAAGGGATTAACATACTTAAGTGCACCACAAAGAAAAAGTGGGGATCAGATCCTAAAATAGATCTTATTTTTTACCAGTCTTACGTAAGGTCCGTATTGGATTATGGTTGTGTGCTGTACGGTTCCGCGGCTAAGTCTCACCTAAGTAAAATTGACCGAATACAATATCAGGCTTTGAGAATTTGCATGGGAGTCATGAAATCAACACCATGTCCAGCAATCTTAGCTGAAGCAAGGGATCCCCCTCTTGCATTACCAAGAAGGTACTTTGCAGAGAAGGCTGTTGTCAAATGCAGAACCTATAACAAATACTTGCTTAATAAGATATCACAATTAGTAACTACAGACTTGACTAACAAGTACTGGAAAAAAAAATCCTCACCACTCGCTAATTTAATTCATCCTATGGATAATTACCCGTTATATGTTGGCCCTTATGAAGTTTTCCTTAATGAAACAACCATCACAATCCCTATATATACCGAAAACTCTTATTACAATAGGTCTGTTCTATCTGCCGTATTGGAAGATCTCAATTGCCACACTGTCGTCTATACCGACGGCTCCTAAAGTGAGATGGGTACTGGGTGCGCGTTTTACGTCCCACAAAAAGATTATTGCACGGGATACAGGATTCCTGACCTGTGCTCCATATTTACAGCAGAAGCCTACAGGCGATTTTCTGGTGCCTTTCGCAAAATATTAATCATGCAACAATTATTACAGATTCGAGATCAGTCTTAGAAGCAATTAAACAAAATCCTGTTAGATCATATGATAATTTTTTATTATGCAAAATCAGAAACTTACTCGTCGCTTATCAAGCCAAAAAAGCAAAGATAAATTTTGTTTGGGTAAAAGGGCATGCTGGCATCAGAGGCAACGAGATGGTTGATAAAGCTGCAAAAAATGCAATTCACTCTAGTACGATTACCCATGTGCCACTTTTTTCTGATTTATTCATAGAGATCAGAGGTAACATCAAGAAAAGATGGGATTTGATCTGGTCCAACTTTGTAGTAAACTCTCGAAATCATGCTCTTATTCACCCGACCCTTCCCAATATAATTCCCCACATAGATCTCTTCTATATGAATAGAAGATTCTCCACAATTATAACGAGATTGAGATTGGGTCATGGTTGCTTTCCTGCTCATCTCCATCGAATAGGTGTAATAGAGTCCCCAAATTGTGCTTGTGATGAATCTTCTATAGCCGATCTAAATCACATATTTTTTGTTTGTAATCTTTACACCAATATCTCCAACCAATTAATCGCTCAGATGTTTAAACTTGGCTTCCAACTACCTTTAAGTCTGACTACCATTTTATCCTTTCCGGATATAAAAATTTATTTAGCGCTAATTCAATTCCTTAAAAAGGCAAATATTACTATATAAAATAAACCTTGTCTGGAATTCGTAACTATTCAGTTATATCCATTGACAACATTTTGTGGCAAATGGACTCCACTTTCCAATGCCAATATTTTGACACACACACACAATGACAATTTGCGTAATGTTTATGAAACAGCGCGTTAGCATTCAGTTTGAATAAGAAAATTTCCCTTTCACCTCTTAAGAAATTTTTTGAAAGATGACCGTATGACCCATTTATTTCTCAATGAGTAGAGGGGTTATTTTTTCATTTTGTGATACATTATTACCTATAATGTTCAGTGAATAAATATCTTCGTTCTATGAATCAGCCTCTTTCAGTCTAACAAAGACTCTAATGCGTCTATTCAGTCTTTTCACGTCTTCAATGCTTATAACCATAAAGTTTCACAATGTTGTCCATTTTTTTATTTGATGACATATCTATTTTCTTCGTGATAATATCGTGGAAGCAATTTTTGAATGTATTATCAATTGCATAGAACATGAAATTTCAAGAGTAGGAGCTTCTGACGAAGATATAATGAATGGAACATATCTCCTTTGCTCCATGAACTGGACCTTTTTCCTCAATTTGTTATGGTGGCATTCAGTATTGAGCGTAATTAATACTGTGCAAGTTCAAATGCAAAAGCAAGGAATAGACTTAATGATGGTTCAAAGGTGCATTTCAGCTGCATTAAAAAAATTAAAAGATTTGAGAATAGAAAGCCCGTACGATAATTTTGTGCTGAAGGCTAAGAGTAAATGGGAAGAGATGGAGTGGGAAAATCCTGGTTTTCCCATTGTCAGAATGAGAAAAATCCAAAAAATGTTCGACGATAAAGCTGCAAAACCTGCTGAATGACTTTTCACTTGGCAAACGTGTAAGAAGTATCTGTTTAAGTATTATCACGTCAAGGGTCGACGGGGGGTTTTTTATGTGCATATATTATAAAAGTGAATCTACATCTAACTTATTTCTGAAGGGTGCCCTAACAAAGGTCCTTTTGCGGACGATGTCATAATTCTTTCAAGAATTAATAAGGTTGAAGATTGCCACCTACTTCAACATAACTTTATTGCTATTGAATACTGGTTAATAGAGAATAAACCTTTTCTCAATGGCCAAAAATGTCAAGCCGCCTTTTATAGTAGAAGAAAAACTGTTATTAATTTGAACTACGTGGACAATACTTGTAAGGCTCAAAGAGAAACCATTTTGATAGATCTAGGTATAGTCTTTGATTCTAAGTTAACGTTTGCAAAACATGTTGAGCGAAAAGTTTTGAAACTTTTTGTGTTTATTGTACGAAACTGCAGAAGCTTTTCAAATATTGATGTTATCAAACTTTTGTTCGATTCGTCAGATGCCAGAATATGGTTGTGTTTTATGAACCCCTTTATATGATTGCTACATCATCACAGCAGAAAAGGTTCAACGTAAAGCGTTGAGATATTTGGATTTTAAAGTAAGTGGCGCTTATACTGAAGTGAAATTTTGTCTGGCAGGTTTGACCAAGATGCTTTGCAATTAATGCTTATATTTCCTTTTTGTAAATATTAGATAATATTACAGATTGCTCCCCCACCCTGAGAAAAATAAATTGTAATGTACCTAGGCTCAGTAGTAGGACAAGCATTACGTTTAAGTGTAAATGGCCAAGTATCCTAGTTAAATCGCTCTTTCGTGTATTGTGTAACAATGATAACATGTCCTTACTGTGATATTTTGATCTGCACACTGACGGAGCTAGTGGATAGATCTGTTACACATCTATGGTTAATTTCTTGTAATTAGGCATATAATAATTCCAGATTTTTGATTTACTCTAGGAACTATCTATGCAGCAAGTTGACATGTTGAACGTGTTTTTGGATGTTTTATAGGTTTTTTGCCTAATCGCACAGCACGGTACGGTCAACAAATTTGCCATTTAGCATCAAAGTACGTAAGACTTGGCTATACAGGGTGGCGCATTGAAAACGAAACAGACGCATTCACTGGCAGCTCAGTTCTTTTTTTAAAAACGCTCAGACCCGTCGATTTTGTTTTCGAGGGGGACACAAGTTTAGCAAAATATCACGTTAACACGTGCAGCCCCCTGGGCGGGGGTGACACCAACCCTAAAATCTTAAACGGAAAGGGGGTCGAGTGATACCTTATTTTAAAGGTCTTTCAATTCCCTTTATAGTGATGTGAAATACATGAGCTCCAGTTCAGTAGTTTTGAAGATTCATTGATTTAAAGCTTAAAGTAGACTTCAATAGGTACATAAAATAACTTGTAACGCTTTATTACATAAATTAACCATGGTATATTCCACAGCAGAAAGGGTTGAAATTATCGAAATATTTTTCGGAAATAATCAGTGCGCTAATAGAATAGCAGAAATATTTAATGAGCGACATGAGAGCAGTAACGTGCATAGAAAATATGTTCTAGAACTTGTAGCTAAATTTCTGAAAACTGGATCACTCGCCAATAAAAAACGCGACATTGAAAATCCCAACGAAGCAATAGAAGTGGGGGTTTTAGGGCAAGTTTATGTAGATCCTACGTTAAGTACCCGCAAATTGGAGACTGTGTGTGGTGTTAGTCGACGTACTGTCCAACGGATTCTAAAGGTCCGTAGTTTTTATCCGTATAAAAT